AAAAAAAAAAAAAAAAACCTATGTGTTTGTCCTTGTAATTTCTTGCGATATTCCATTTCACAATCGTTTAATTTATCCCAAGAACACTTATAAAAACACAACTCATTTCATTAATTATACACACTTAATTACAAATTAACTAAAGCATCCATAGAGCTAAATAGCGAACAGATGGGTTCACAAAACCAAATTGAATTTCCTGTCATCGACTTGTCTGAGGAAGGCCTAAATCGGGGATCAAAGTCTTGGGTATCCAAATGCGAAGAAGTTCGAAGAGCACTCGAAGAATATGGTTGTTTTATTGCGGAGTACGACAAAGTTTCCTTAGAACATCATAACACAATCATTAATCAAATGAAAGAGTTATTTAGTCTCCCACTTGAAGTTAAAGTCCAGAATGTTAGTCACAAACCTGCCCATGGCTATGTTGGCAGAATTGAAGCTATTCCTCTCCACGAAGGCTTGGGGATTGATCGAGCAACAAATGTTGAAGAGTGTGAAAAGTTCATGAATTTGATGTGGCCAGAAGGAAACAAACATTTCTGGTAAAACATATTTCTTTTATGCAGTTAATTTTAAATTATATAATGTTTTTTTCACTTACTTTTATTAGTTTGTCTATTTTATTTTTATTTAATTCTTATATCTCAGTTACTTAATACGTAACAATCATTCTTCATTTACATATTGATACATAACAAAATCAACTTTACTAATATCTTCGTATCCATAACCATAGATAGTGTTTCCTAATAAGGAATCACATAAATACTTAATTTGATAGCTTTGTTTAAAACTTTATTAATATTTAATTTTTGATCTCATTTATGTTCTATAGAATTAAATACTGAATCAAGCTCAGTGTTACTGTTAACATGTGGGTTCAGTGAAAATGCTCATCGATATGCAAAGATTGTGGCAGAATTAGAGCAGATGGTTGTGAGAATGGTTTTTGAAAGCTATGGCCTAGACAAATACTTGGATGCTCAAATTAAGGCAACCACTTACCTTCTTCGTTTCTTGAATTACCGAAAACCTCAGACTGGAGAGCCTAGTATTGCTTTTGTTTCTCACACTGATAAGAGTTTCATCTCTATCCTTCATCAAAATGATATCAAGGGTTTAGAATTAAGAAATGAACAAGGAGAGTGGATTGGTTTCGAGCCCTCTCCTTCAAGGTTTGTAGTCTTCGCTGGTGATGCGTGCATGGTGAGTTTCTATTTCATTTTTAAAATCATTTAGCTTCAAATTTAATTGAGATACAAAAGAGTATTTTATAACATATTACCCTTAAATTGAAATTGAGGAAGGCATGGAGTAATGACAGAATAAAATCTTGCTATCATCGAGTTGTGATGAAAGGAAATGAAGCGAGGTATGCATTGGGATTGTTTTCATTTCGTGGTGGTACAATTGAAACGCCAATGGAGTTAGTGGATGATGAGCGCCCATTACAGTATAAACCATTTAATCATGATGGACTGCTTGAGTTCTATAACACAATTGATCTCAAGAAGAGATCCGAACGCAGCATGATCAAAGTCTACTGTGGAGTTTAAAATCTGCTAATGAATTAATTATTCACCTATAATAAATAATCTTCGTTATCAAACGCATCCATGTTCTAATGCACTTGTGTGAATAAAACAAGTTGCTTCTCTTTTACTTGCACCATAAACATAC